GAGTGTGTGAGGCGAGAGGACTGGCAGGGGTCCTCCCAGCCAGTTTCTTCGGCGTCCCCTTCGGAATTCACCAGATACCGGCGTCGCTACCTTTCCGATACTCCGCTCTGTCAACGGCTGGTCTCTTTTTTCCACCAACTCTTACCCGCTCATCTCCGCAAAGTAACTACATGCCTACTCCACTTATACCACCACCTGCAAAGTAATGCCGCCTATCGTCCTTTCATTTCCCACATTTTCATCTTTTTTTGCCTCTGCCCGCCTCTCGTTGACCCCTTCCCGCTTCCCTAACGTCTTATCGCTAGCTTCTGACACCCACCCACGTTTTGGCCTGCAGACAGCCTGGAGGAGCGTGTGGACCACTACGTGAAGCGGCGCAAGCTGGACCCGGCTATTCTCGAGTCGGCCGTCTCTGTGGCAGGCGGACGGGTGCTGGATGCCGCGTCAGGTGCTGTGGGGGACGGGGCAGACGAGCGGGACAGTGCTGAGGGAAGGCCGCCTCCCGCCGGAGGTGAAACGGGGGACGGTGAGGGAGAGCGGAACCCCACCGAAAGGGACGGGGGTGACGGCGGCAGCGGCCGGACAGCGGCCGACATGGAGTGTGGGAGCGATACGCGGTGATGTGAGCTCGCTATCGAGTGCTTTTCTCTGCGCAGTGTTTGTTGGGAGTCTCACAAAGGAGAATACAATATGTACATTTTACATTTCTTTCGGTATTGTTTTTCATTAATTAAAATGAAATCTTGCTACAGATTTAGGTTCCCAATGCTTGCTTCTACTTTGTTGATTTACATGACAATGGCAAGAAACTTAGAATTATCATCATTGAGCTTATTGCGACTGTTCACATCGCTGTCGCCTCAAAAGAAGAGCAAGTTTGGCAGGCGACATGACAAGATGCCGGATTTTGCTGAACAGCGTAGAGCTGCTGTTCGGATTGGGTGTCGATACTTACTCCGATGGTCGGCGATTGCTAGTCATCTCGGCTCTTCATTTCAATATTCGTTCAAAAGACGGGGACTATGGATTTGTATGTGGACGCCTCATGATTATGGCGACTTTTTGGAATTAGATAGGTATTGACAATGGTTATGATTTCCAATTGTTCAGTCGCAGGTCTCTTTATAGCTCAAAACAACATAGCTCTCCTCCAGACACGAAAGAATGAACTTGCCGTTAACAACAGCCGAATCAGTGTTTACTTCCAAGCACCACCAAACTAAAACTTCCACGTAAACTCCCTAAGAACAGCTCGTTAATTCTAGGAGATTGTTGCCGGGGAAGACATCGTGTTTTCGAATTCATGTAATTTAAATATTGAGAGCGGGACTCGTTAGCGGCGGCATTATCTATGTATCGCTGGGCGCGGTGACGCAACGGACGTGGGTCGGCCAGGGGGCTGAAGGGTATCAAGGGCCGGATGCAGGTATTGACCGGTGTATCCGGCGCGGTGCGGTGAGGCGGTGGCGGCGCCCTGTCCGCGCCCGCCGCCCGCCATCGGGCCTCTCGTTAAGTGGGAAGCCCTGGCGGCTGACATTTGCAGCCGGTCGGCGGGCGGCTGTATGGGCCGGTGGCTGCGGGGCTGCGCACTGGGCGGACCGCTCCGGTGGCCGCCGGTACTACGGCGCACGGCCGGCGCCGTGGGAGGCGCAGCCCCGGCCGGCGTAGGTAGCGCCGCGCGGGCCCACCGGCCCAGCTAATCTGCTTGCCACCGACCCGCTCCATTGAGACATGGCGCGCACTCAATCAGCGCCAGTGGGCCGGACTGCGCTACGCCGAACTGTGTCGCCCAGTTCTTGTGACAGGCCTTAGTTTCCAGTGAACTGTATGGCGGGCCATGACAAGAGTCCTACCACCGAATCCCGTCCCGTGCAGCGGCGAGGCCAACGCCTGCTCCCGGCGATCGGTGTGTGACGATCGCTGGTAACAATCACTGAGATCTAAGATCATCTATAGCTGCCCATAGAATTTTTGCTACTTTGTCTTTGAAGATGCTTACCTTTACCGTGGGCTTATAAAAACTCCAATCTGCGCTTAGTTCGTCGTAACAAACTTGTCGCCAAACGTATTGGTTCCTCGTATCGTAACCTCTTGCGGTCTTGAGCATGGGTCCTAGCAGGTTAGAGGATAAAACCCTTCAAACCAATAAAGCAAGCCAATGCGTGGGAACTTTCCGTTTTGCGTATAACAGTGCATTAAAGAAGAAATGGATGCAGAAGCATAAGCAATCAACATTTCTGATCACTATAACCAACGAGATGAGACTTTCCGTCGTGAATCTAAAAGTGCATGGATAGATAAGATGCGATGACAAAAAGAAACGCAGCAGTTAAAATGTTTCAACTTACATAGGGGAGACCCTGGAGGTATGGGCCATCGCAATTTTGAACGAGCTTTGCGTATTTTTTCCAAGTCAACTGCGTAAACTGGTAGCTGTCAATTCGTTATACAACCCACGTGATTTCCAAAATCTTCCTCAGTCTCCTTTGGCAGTGAGCAGTGATAGTGCGTTTTTGCCCTCTTCGAGTAAAATACAATGCATACATAAAATTCGTGATTTATGTGAAACAGGCTGGTTTTATTATGTCACACCATCGCTAACATAAAATTTTAACCATGCAAATTAAGACTGGGCAGACAATTTGAAGCTATGTTGCAAGGTTATGAGCTGAGATGCAACGCACATTCAGACGTCCTAACCGGGAGGTTCGGACCACCCACCCTCGGTGATCCTAATTCAATTACACGATGCTTTCATTGAATGTCCTAAGTTTTATTGTTGTCGCGCTGGGTCGAAAATTAAGCTACAAACTGCATTCGAACAAAAAAATATTCTTCGTCTTATTTCATGGAACGATATTGAGTTTACCCTAATAAATATGCGACCGAGTGACCTCCAAGAAGTAGGCTGTTGGCCGCTTATGCGGTGCCTGGGCTCTAAGAGAGTTTAAGGTAGATCCTAGCTACGAGTATTGTGCTCAATGCCGAGAACACAATGTGAAGCATGACACCCGCCCATACCTCCCGGTGTATTTTGATGGATCGAAAAAGCGCATGCTTTATTAAAAGTTATCTCGAGACAAAATAGTTTATACCAAATGCCTAATAGCAGGCACACTTAAGGGGCGAAAGGCAAATTCACGTACACAGAGTGAATTTCATAAAACCGGCCCATACCTCCCGGCTTTCCCCTAGTCAACGAATGGAGGCGTAGCTGCAAATAATCGGAACTCTGTGTGCACCGACATTATCTGGTGCTGATCGAACTGCTGGCGAGTCTTATGCTTTGCCTACTTATTAGTCAACAGTCTTATGCGTTCCATATTTGTTCAAAGAAGAAAAGTGATAAGCTTTACCAGAGAGACATCAAATGTTGACGTGATGAATACTGGAGCATAGACCTCTGTATATCTAATTATACATATATCTGTATATGCATACAGAGGTCTATGACTGGAGACTTCGCCACCTTACTATAGGGATGGGATTATTACTTTTCGTCGGGCAGATACACCTCCAAGTTCCATTACATTGAAATGCTATGATCTGTAGTAAAACTATAAACCCGCATCCCGCTGGCTATTTGGCCATACGCGCCCCGCTGCATATGGCCCTTCCCAGCGCGCTGGGGAGCGGCAGATTCTGCCCCCCCCCCCCCCGTCTAACTTCGGAACCGGTGGTCGTATAAAGAGGGGAAAAGCGGCACTCGAAAGCTCTCAACAAGACGGACACTTGGAGCCAAACGTTTTGCCTTAATAGGTCAGAGGTCAGGTCAAGGTCAGGTCAAGGGTACAAAATGCAATCTTCTACATTATCGGCTTTGGAGCGCGGCTGGCGAAGAATGGACTGAGGTTGATTATCCAAAACGTGCTCTTAGGCCTCCAAGACAAGATTCGTTGCATAGGCAAGAAAAGATCAAGATCAAGGTCAAGGTCACGTCAGGTCAGGTCACCAAAAGTGAAATATGGAATAGGACGTGTTCGACACATGTTTTATGGGTCAGTTTATTAATAGAATTCAATGGGCACACTAAGTTAATGATATGGACCAAATTTGAATAAGTTTCAGGTCGAGATCAGGTCAAGGTCAGGTCAAGTTAGTTCAAATTTTGAAATTGATTCATAAGATCCAAAAAGGTGTTTATCTGAAGCAGATTTTCATGACGAATCGAATAGTGCTATTTTTTGTTCTTGTGCGAGGTCTAGAAATTCCAAAAAAAAACTCATTAATTGAAAATTGTTTGTGTCGTGACGTAAAAAATTGAATAACTCCTACATTTTTGAACTAAATCTTCTAAAAATTGGAATATTGCACAGATGCACCTTCTCACACATATTATGGTATTTTCGATAAACGTACCTATTTTTTTATTATTTTAAAACAAGTCATTTTTAAATGTTCGTTAAAATCCAAACTTTTCAAAAATCAGAGGTAGCCATTAAAATGACTAAAGTGAAATCCCGTGCATGATTTTGTTACGTCCTAATTATTTTAAAACTGATGATGTTTTGAAGTTTTGCACTTTTTGAAGTGAAAATGACGTGACATGACGTCACTAAAACGTCATTTTCGCAAAAATGTACCAACGGATTTCGCTCAAGTTTTCAGAAAGCATGCCAAATTGATGTATGATAAGCTACTGAAAGTTTGACGTCTCTGGCTTAACGCGTTCAGAAGTTATGGGTGAAAAACGGAAGGAGCAGATTCTCCCCAATTTTGTCAAAGAAACCAACACCCATTTCGGCAGGAGAGAGCTCTGGTTTCAGGTCATCGTTGAGGGGACAGCTGGGATCATGTGACCGGTAAGGGAACAGCAAGGTCAGGTCCCAGTGGGCAGTGAGGGGACATTGGAATCAGGTGACCAGTCAGGGGACCGTCGAGGGGACAGTTTGGTCAGGTGAGAGGACAACTGAGATCAGGTGACCGGCGAGGAGGCAGCAGGGGTCAGGGACCAATGAGGGGGCAGCTTAGGTCAGGGAACCAGTCAGGGAACATTGGGATCAGGTGACCTGTCAGGAGACAGTTGAGTCAGGGTGACCAGTCAGGGGACAGTTGGGCCAGCTGACCGGTGAGGGGACAGTTGGGTCAGGTGAGGGGATGCCAGGTATAGCGCGGCAATCCAGGTGGGCGTCCCGGAGCCCGGTGTGCATGGGCGGCGGGTCGTCGGTCGCGCGCGGCGCCGATCGATGGCTGCTTCCGGCCTGGCGACGCGCTGAGACGGCCGACGGAGAGAGAGGGAGAGCGCCCGCCCGCCCCCGGGCCGGCTGGCGCGTGCCCCACGGCCGGGTCATTGAGCCATCAGGTGCGGCCGGCACACACGCGCGTCTGCCCAGATCCGGGGTCGGCCGGCGTGTGCAGTCGAACAGGTGCTTTGATCCACCTCCACCTCCATTCAGCTAATGCACCTGCGCGCTGTTCGCTCCGATGAATGGCCGCGTGTCGCTGTGGAGGCGAACAAGCCAGCTCTTGACCTTAGTGCTGTAAAGTTGACATAAAGTTGCAGCCACGATCAAACGGCAACATGCTATTTTAAGAGCTGGGACGCGAAAACAGAGTTCATTCGGTAACTAAGCAAGAACGTGGTTCAGAAGCAGTGTGTGCTCCAGCTATAATAAACATCATTCAGCTGCTCGTTCTTTATTCCATCGCTGGTCTCTACTTCTCACCTCTCTATGTAAAAGCGTGCAACTACGCAGAAGGCTGTAAAAATGACAGCGTATTGCTGTTTCTAAATAACCTGGAGTGTTGTTTCGTTAGGTAGGGGAGAATGGGGTGGGTTGTATCAGTTTTTACTCCGAGACCCATAACCTCGTAACTATCCGTGATAAACTCATTATTTCCATACGATCTCCTTCCTTGATTCTTCTGCTTTTTTGTGCCAAGTAACTTTTCCGCTACCTTTACCAGTTTTTCTTCTACGGTCTGCCGAATAGAACAATGTTTTTGATACAACTTGCCCCATGGCTTGGGTGAGTTGTATCACATGGTGGGGTAATTTGTATCACTATTTCACGTTTCAGGGAGTGTGCTTGCTACTGGTTTTGAACATAACAACAACATTAAATGTGGTTAATACAATGTATATGCTCAAAGGCTTCTCTTTTATTGGACCAAACCTAGGTCATGCAAACTGAACGAAACAACGAAACAATTGAAACACCAATTGACTAGAGGCAATACTCGTTCAGCCGAGTATTGCCAAACGCGAACACGAGCCAGAGCTGAGCTCTCGCGAGATCAAAAGCTCACTTAACCCACACACATCGCTAGTAGGTAAACTCCGAATCCCCAGATTCAACAAACGCAAGCCAGGGCTTAGCTTTGCGGAAAAGCTCTCTTAACCCACACACGTCGCTAGTAGGTAAAGTCCGAATCCCCAGATTCACAGTTGTGACAGATGTATACAACGCCATCTGTATTGGTACACTGCGTGTGCGCCCAACGTTTGCACTCCTGACACCTGATCCATTTCTCACCTGGCCGACTATTACCCCACGGTTCAATACAAACCAAGCAGAATGCTTCTTCATCCTCGGACTCATCATCAGAGAAGTCCAGTTTCTTCTTCCCTTTTGTTTTCCGGCCTTTTTCTTGACCTTTACTGCGCGCATTCTTGGCCTTAGTATTTTTGACATTCGTCTTTCTTTTGCAGCTCTTTGTTCGTCCTCTAGCATGTGTTTCACCGGTGTGTCTGTGAGTACCATCGCCTTTCTCTTCTTCCGTCCTCCCTTTCTCTTTCTAGGAGAAAGCTGGCGCCCCAGGATTGGACGCACGTCTTTCGGCGAAAAGTTGATGTCTTTGCTCGGGCCCGGCTGCTGCTGCAGCGGCTTGGAGCTCGGGCCCGGCTGCTGCAGCGGTGTGGAGCTCGGGCCCGGCTGGTGCTGCAGTGTGGAGCCAGGGTCCGGCTGCTGCAGCGGTGTGGAGCTCGGGCCCGGCTGCTGCAGCGGTGTGGAGCCAGGGTCCGGCTGCTGCAGCGGTGTGGAGCTCGGGTCCGGCTGCTGCAGCGGTGTGGAGCTCGGGTCCGGCTGCTGCTGCAGCGGTGTGGAGCTCGGGCCCGGCTGGTGCTGCAGTGTGGAGCCAGGGTCCGGCTGCTGCAGCAGTGTGGAGCCAGGGTCTGGCTGCTGCAGTGATGTAGAGCCAGGGTCCGGCTGCTGCGGCGGTGTGGAGCCAGGGTCCGGCTGCTGCAGTGATGTAGAGCCAGGGTCCGGCTGCTGCAGCGGTGTGGAGCCAGGGTCCGGCTGCTGCAGTGATGTAGAGCCAGGGTCCGGCTGCTGCGGCGGTGTGGAGCCAGGGTCCGGCTGCCGCAGTGATGTAGAGCCAGGGTCCGGCTGCTGCGGCGGTGTGGAGTCAGGGTCCGGCTGCTGCAGTGATGTAGAGCCAGGGTCCGGCTGCTGCGGCGGTGTGGAGCCAGGGTCTGGCTGCTGCAGTGATGTAGAGCCAGGGTCCGGCTGCTGCGGCGGTGTGGAGCCAGGGTCCGGCTGCTGCAGTGATGTAGAGGCAGGGTCCGGCTGCTGCGGCGGTGTAGAGCCAGGACCCGACTGCTGCTTCTGTGCGCGGTTTGGAGCTCGGGCCCGCCTGCCGTTGCGATGTGGAGCTCGGGCCCGGCTGGTGCTGCTGCGGTCAGGAGCTCGGGACCGGCTGCCGCTGCTGTAGGCGGTGTGGAGCTCTGGCCCGGCGGCTGCTGCTGTGGGCGGTGTTGTGGAGCTCGGGTCTGGATGCTGCAGCGCTGTGGAGCTCGGGCCCGGCTGCTGCAGCGGTGTGGAGCCAGGGTCCGGCTGCTGCTGCTGTGGGCGGTCGGTCACCAGAGACGGACTGAAGTCGACATCAGTGAACACGTCAGGGTTGTATGGCACGATGCCTGCGACCTGGAACCCACTGGCTATGTTCTTCTCCGTGCACGCCAGGGGCCATATCTCCCTCAGTATTCCCGGGAGGTCGTGGACAGTCATCGTCCGGCCGCGGTTGTTCCGAAGTCAGTTGGACTGCGCTGATGCTGCGTAGGCCTTCAGGGGACCAAATACGCTTCGGTCCAGCGGCTGTAGCTGATGGCTGCAGTGAGGAGGAAATGAGAGCATCACAATGCCGTTATCCTTGGCGAACTGCACTCCCTCGATCGCCAGATGACTCTCATGATTGTCAAGTAGTAGGAGCGTAGGTCGCTCGGGAGAGCACTTCGTATGCTTAACGAAGTGCTCCAGGAAGGCCTTGAATTTCTCAGCCGTCATCCATCCTGACGGATATGATGCCCCAAGACATCCTGGCGGACCATCCTTCACGAAGTAGTCCTTGTATCGCGCTCTGGGGAAGATCATCATGGGAGGAACTTTGTTGCCGTAGGCGTTGACGGCTGCACAGATGGTTACCAATTCCCCCCTTTCCGCTGACGTCATCGAGCCCACTTGCCTGGTTCCCTTTGGCGCCACCACTTGTGGGGGTTTTTGCACTGTTGTCAAGCCTGTTTCATCGACATTCCATATATCACCTCCGTCAAATTTGTACTTGTCCATCACCTCTCCGAGCTTCTTGAAAAACTCGCCCACGTTCGACTTATTGAAACCGCTCGCTCGGCCCAAGCTTGTGGCTTCCGGTACTCGAATGGACAGTCGCCGTCTCTTTCGGAAGGATCTGAACCATTCTTCCCCAGCCATCTTGTTCTTGGTCCATGACTCCGGCACAGTGATGTCGTGGCGCATCGCACATTTGTATGCGAAAACTCTAACTTCTTTTGGCGTTAGCCCGAAGAAAACATCTGCCGATTCTTCAATATACGCTTCCAACAGTTCTTCCTGTTCATCCGTAAACACTCTCGATCCTGAGTTTTGGTACCCCATGTTCGGATCAATACCTTCCTTCTTTTTCCTTACGAACCGGTTCAGAGTTTGGTAGTTTACTTCGTAGTCCTTTGCTGCGCTGCGGATAGAAGCTCCATCATTCATAACTGCGTTGCAAGCCCGCAGAAGGACCTCTTTGGGGCTGTTCTTGCGCCTGTCTGATTTCCGGGTGTAGTTCCGCGGCATTTCGGCTTCTCAAACTGAAAACAAGGGCAAACATACAGCTAGTTAGGTATGTTATGCACTGACTAAATGATTCGCTGAAAATGGTTAGGTGCATGATTGTAGGTGCTAGGTAGGTATTAAGAATAGAATGAATTGCCTGGACATCGAAAGGGGAGGTGGTGGTCGTAGTCGGGAGGGGGGGGGGGGGTGTCGGGACAGGCGGCGGAGCGGTCAACAGTACCTACTGTCCGCCCAGATGATCGCACAATTTCCAGGCCTATTATACATACCTAGATTCCTATAGGTACGTACACAATGCATATGACAAAACAATGGATAGGCTACTGATGTTCAGCGGTAGCCTATATTGGGGTGAGTTGTATCATATTGGGGTGAGTTGTATCACTGTTACAACATACCCCACCCGGCTCTGATACAACATGTACCTCGCCGCCATCTTGGAAAAAACATCCTCGTGCTCAAAAACAGCGGACAGCTGGAGAAATCCATTTTCACTCACGCAGCCTCACAACCTACCCTCACCACCGCTACGGAGATCTTTCAAATTCGTGCACATCTAAATGCCCAAAACACACATTTTCTTGCAACCTATTTTTTAGAATGACATTAAAAAAACATAAAATCGGCTCTCACCTCTAAACGCGTCCAGCCGGCCTCACGACAGAACATGGAAAGATGGCGCCCGGAAAACCTCGTCAGCTGGTCGTGTCACGAGCGCCATCTGTTGGATAAGTTTGGCACAATTCGCCCTGATACAACTTGGACATGATACAACTCTCCCCGCTCTCCCCTATTTGTTTTCATAATTGTTTAATTAAAACATATCTGTATTTATCACGTAGTGCCTTTGCAAGGCGCATGAATGAATAATTACGAGCGAGCGAGCGCAGCGAGCGAAGCGAGTCTTTTCAATATAACGGAAAAATCTCAGTATGAGCGGCCCGGCCCGGCCCGGCCTGTAACGCTTTTGAGAGGCTTATATCTCAGCAACCGCTGGACCGATTGGCCTGCGGTCTTTTTTGCTGGGTAACCCCATCCCTTATACCCCGTAATTGACTACTTTTGATACATCTCAGTGACCGTCGTGGCACGTGCCACGTGAAAAGTCAAGGGTGTTCAAGCTGTTTTGCAAAAGTAGTGATTTTGAGAGGCTCATATCTCAGCAGCCGCTTGGGCGATTGACTTGCGGTAATGTTTATAGGGTAGCTGCATCCTTTCTACCAAAAATAGGATACTCTCGATGCATGTGGGTCACCCCCAGTGCACGTGCAAAATACAACAATAAGAGGTGTCAAATTTGTTCCCATTTTAATAACTCGATAATTACTGGGGCGATTTCGCTAAAACTTGGCATACAGGTCGGCACCCACCAGGCAATGCATTCCCATGTGTTGCGGTTAAAGGAAAAGGGCCACCTTTAATATGGGGATTGAAACTGAGATAGCCATCTTGTAGCCCGTGTCCGAAAACCCTCCAGTCTATCTCCTTACGGCCGATTTCGGCTTCCATTCGTAGGTATCGGTAATTTTAAAAGAGTAATGCGTCCTTATCCCAGGAATGCGTCCTTACCCTGTAATACAGCCACCCGCGGCGAGGCTTTGGTTTTTTACCAATCAGCTCCAATCAGCTCAGCTTTAACCAATCAGCTTATCTGACACAATCCGACGAGTCTGTCTTCTGAACGCTGATTGGCTTGAGTGTGACGTCATCGCAATGCCATCATACAGTAGGTGCCGCAGAGAGTATCAACATTCAACATAGTACCAATATGTTAAATAGTTTTAAATACTTTTTCGCGAATTGTGCACTTCTGGCACCAGTTTTAAAAAGAAAATGAAAAATAATAATGTCAAAATGAAAAACAACGATATCTTCATATTTCACGAAGGTGGCCCTTTTCCTTAACCCTCGCATGTGTGCGGCGTTTGCCAGCTTCTAATGTGTAGGGGGGGGGGGTCGGTTGGACCCCCCCCCTTGCCGTTTGGCCCCTGATCGAGCTAGAGCTTCGCGGAAAAAACGAGCGTGTTGCCCGTGACGAGAGGAAGCCGATGATACCCAATTTTAAGGTCCTAGGTCATTGGTTGACCTTCAAGGTCAGGTCAATGACCCAAAGTCGGGAAAATCGGGACCTGTTAGAAAGTCGTAAAGTGTGGCTGCTAAGGGGGTTTTCGGGGTGCTGATCACGAATATCGTGTTAGTTTTGATCACAGATGATGTCTTGAAGCATTTAGACCAGGTCGGGTCAGGTCAGGTCAGGTCAACCAGTAGGCGTCGTGACGGGTATTCGTAATACGTGTCAACCGCCTCTGACAGCTTCGTAACATGTTACGAAGTCACCAAAACTACTTCGTAAATGTTCAAATGGTTGCTAAATTCGAATTCAGCTCCAAAAACTAGCCTAGAAACATGTAAAACTCGAAAAAGTGACCCGAGGTCACCCGAGGTCACCAAAGGTCAATGACCTGACCTGACCTTCAGGTGACCTTGACACACACGGGAGTAACATCAAATCACATGTTTGAACGTTTGAAACCACGAAAAGCTTGCAAACACGCGGCTAGTGCGAGCCGACATACGCGAAATCGCGATTCCGGCCAAACATGGTCTCGGAAAAGAGGTCACAGGTCAAAGGTCATTTGGGTCAGGGTCATGAAATTTTCAGGGTAGGTGTAAAATTGATCAATGCGAGGGTACTGAAAGTTTCGTCGCGATCGGCCGCTTTTTACGCGAGTTATTCGCGAAAAACCATGGGGGGTCCATCCGCCCCCCTACACATGCGAGGGTTAAAGGTGCTACTGCACGTGCGCACGTGCAGGGGGCGCTTCCAGATCTCGAGAATGGCTGGGCCGATTGCGCTCAAATTTGATACACGGTTGGAGACCGGTTAGTAGTGTGCCGTGCAAAAGTCAGTTTGGACCCCATTTGCACGTGCGCACGTGCAGAATGCCGCTTCCAGATCTCAGGAACGGCTGGGCCGATTGCGTTCAAATTTGGTACACCGCTAGCGACCAGTTAGAAGGGTGCTTTGCGCAAGCCCGTTGGAAGTACCCTCTCGCCCTTCCGCACGTGCAGGGCTCACTATCTCGCTCGCTCGTTCTTCGCCCAAAAGGCGTTTTACTGGTTATTTTAATTTATAATTATTATAATTATTAAAACGGCATTTTATTTATTTTTCGGAATTTTCAAGGAGAAGCTCGCTTAAATTATAATAATTATTCATAACAGTATTTGTTTATTTTAAGGACTGATAAATCATTGTTCAGGTACCTACTGCTGAATCACGATAATCTCCATTTGGATTGAAACTTGAATTGTTAGAGCTGAAGGTAGACAGAAGAAATGTGTTAGACGCTCAGATGTCTAGAATTTCTCACGAAAGCTTCTTCGAAAACCTTTGCAGGTTATGCCTTAACCCGGCCGGGCTCGGGGGTAATCCCAACCACCGCAGCCCGGGGAGTGGCGTTTTCGCCCTCCCCCCCCCCCCTGTCTAACTCCGTAAATAGGTGCGCTACGGAAACAAAAGTGGCATCAAACGAAAAGTCTCTACGAGGGGATACTAAAGCACCCACAATTTTCTACCTCAGTTTGATTTTCAAGGTCAGAGGTCTAGGTAGCAGGCAAAAACCGGCAAAAGTGTAGTGATCTCAAAGTAAGCGTTCTAAACGACGACAGGATGCATAAAACCGGCTAAATGGGTGTCAAACAAAAGAAAAGAATCAGAGGATTCCGAAAATGTGCTCAAAATCAAAGGTCAAGGTCGAGGTCATGCTCAAAATGGACCTTAAACTTTACATTTTTTTCGAATATCATGCTACTAAATTCCAAGATGTTTTGAAATGTTTTGAGGCTTATCAGGTCCCTATTTGTTGTTTATCTTACGATATAAGGCTGCTCCAAGGCCAAGGTCATGGAAGAGTATCATTGCTAGAGGCTATTTCACTGATCAAGTTAGTAATAATAATTAAGACAATTTTGTCACCCGCAGGCTCTAAATGAACGCTTAGAAGAAAATAGATGCCAGATTCGTAATCAGCGGCTACAAATCCATCAGATAAGATCTCTCGTGTGTCAAGGTCAAACAAAGGTCATTCGAGGTCAAATGGGGTCACCATAAAATTAGCCTTTTCCCAACAAAATATAGTTTTGAATATATAAATATAATATATATTCAAAACAGCTTGACAAGGCGAATGTGTTGGTACCACTACCGTAGCTCTAGGACCATTTTTGTCCAATTTTATTTGCGAAAAAC